GAGCAAAGTGAGTGACAGGGGGGCCGGGCCGAGGGCCGTGGGCAGGTCTTTGAGCCCCGGCCGCTCAAAGGGAGGGCCACACGGACCCGGTCCCCGCTGCGCGCCCCTCTCGGGGGTGGGGGGAGGTCGCTCTCCCACGCGGCCTCCCCCGCAGCGCGCATTCGCTCCTTCCTGCCCCCACCTCCGCCCTTATCCAGGTAAATGTCAGGTGTGCGCCACCCCGGGCCTGGGCTGCGCGCTGCTGTCCTGGAAGGCGGGTCTCCGACCCCCAAGCGCGGCAGAACCGCGGAAGGGTGGACCCAGCGCCCCCCAAGGTGCGCGCCGCCTCCCCAACTGCTCCCGCGAGCGCGGAACTTCGGCTGACTCGCATTTTCCCTTTTCCCAAGCAGTGGGGAAAGGGTTACGACAGAAGCCAAATGGGTGCAGCACGCGACAGACGCCAGGCGTGGACGTGTGACTGGCATGTCCCCTCCTCTACCCCCACCCATTGCTTCGTCCCTTCCTCGTCCCTTCCTCTCTTCCCTCCGGCTTCGTCCCGTGTCCCCTCCCTCCGTTCAGTCCTTCCCCCATTCCCTCTTCCCTTCTTACTATTACCTGGGGAAAGATCCGAGTACGTAGCTACCAACATGTTTTTAAAAACGGAGCCATCGCACCTTGTGTCCCTCGGGTGTCTGTTTTTCTAGCCCGCATTGGTATGAGTTATTCAAAACAGAGATCGTCCCCTCGTATTTGCCCCAAGCCTCCCGAGTCACCCTTTCGAGCCCTGAAACGGCCACCCCGTGCTCTCTCAAAATCTCTGCAAGTCTCTTCCCCAGCCTGGGCCACACTGGGGACACAGTGGCATTAATAAACACAGCACCTGAAACAAAGCTTTATCCTTCCCTGAGCTCCACTGGGCAGTGATGGTGGCCCAGCCCCCTTGCAGGCCGAAGACCCTAGAGAGCAGGGACATGGCCACTGAAGGCTGTGCTTAGGGCTTGGGGATGTTTCTACAACACAGACGAGCCAAAAAGCCTTATATTCGGATGCGGAATAACCGAGTGACACCCTACAGCTGTTTCCGATTTCCCGCCCCTCCCCCCATTCTCCCGAGTGCATGCCTTCCGCTCTGAAATCTGGACATCTTCCTGTGGAATTACAAGGACAGCCATCTACAGTCGCCCCTTATACCTGTGAGTCTTTTCCAAGTTCATCGTCTTACACGTTACCTTTCTTGACACAGCCAAGGCGGCAAGGCCAAGGGAATTCATCGCTCGGTGTGATTCTCAATGAATTTTTTTTTAAAGTTCAGGGTTGTCTTCTTCAAATGGCAGAGCTGGCTTCATGGGTGTGTAACCTAGGACCTCTGTGTTAGAAGGGGATTTAACGTTTTTCAGTTACGATGTCGATTTTCATTTTGGGCAAGGTTCAAATGAGGTAGGTCAGCAAAACAATATTACGCTTCAGCGGGAAACATAAAACATTCAGGTGTACTCTCACGTGAGCTCAATAGTTTGTTTAAAAAGATGCTCGGAATGGCAAAGGGAAATCTTTTAAGTGTGTCAGACATAATTAATATTGACTAATGGGCAAGGAGGTGACCCCAAGTGGGAAGGTGTATAAAGCCTCACGTCAATTTAAACGGAGGCGTGACATCTGAACGCGGGCATCGTCCTCGAAACAGCGTCGCTTCCGTTTGGGAATTCATAAAAACACTTCCAAAAGCTAGCGTGGATCCTTCCGGAGCGTGTGTTCGAGTTTTCAGCTTAGGCAAATAAATAGCTCATCTCGGTGGAGGCAAGTGTTTTCTTATGGCATCTTCGATTTGTAACTTTCCCCTGCACGTCATGAAATTTATATTCCAGAAAGAGAAATCACATGGACAGGCATGCTGACCTTTGAAAAACAGCTTTTAAATGTTCAAAGGGATCACTGCATTTTTTTAAAAAAGCGATGTGTGCGCTACTTATATGGCTTCCACAGCATATTCATTTCTGTGAATCAATGCGTTTTATAATAAACCATAAAGGAGAGCATCCAGTGGGTTGAACAGAAAGCTTGAAGTTAGGTGAGAGGGCCACCTTATTGTGCAAATGTTAAGATAATACTCGTGCTTTCTTGTTTTAGAATCATCACTCCCATCTTCTGTGATTAGCCTGGCCTTTTTCATGGTATTTAATTACACTTTAACGTAACTTTCAAAAGGAAAACCTTTCGGTCAAGTCAGAAAAACAGTCAATATGTAGGTCATGGATCCTTTTGAAATAGATGCTCACATTTGCCCGATCTCTCATGCAATAGGCCCTGCGAGTCAGCACACAGTAACTCTCGAACTTTCGGCAGGACGGGTTAAGCCACACCCTCAGCTGACGAAGACGGGGCGCACGAGAGGAGAGCCCGAAGGGTGTGTGGAAGGCGTGACAGGTAAATGCACAGGTGGGAATCGCCAGGTGCGTTAGTAACACAGAGTGTAGCACACCTGGTCCTCAGAGTCAACTTGAACCCCCAGGTCTGAAGTTGTGTGAAGAGATGAACCTCCTGTTGACTTACATTTGACTGAAGCAGACGGATCCCACGTCTGCCGGGGAGAGCAGAAACGCTCACGTCTGTCCTCGTGATCAAAGACAGACTGAAACACGTGGCCGGCTGGGTCAGGTTACGGAAGAAACACACAGACAAGGCCCTCGCTCACCGCCTCCAAAGACTTAGCTGAGCTCTCCCTTACAGTTTATTTCAGTTACTTGTTTTCATTTGTTTGTTTGTTTGTTTTCCAGCAGAGACTAAGAACCCCCTGGGGCACTAGCTCCAGGCCCCCCGCAGTCAGGGACCAGGGGTCACGGCATCTGGGGTGAGACTGTGGAATCTCAACTTTTAAACATCACTGCAGGTAGTTCTGTAGTCAGCGAACCAGGGACTGCTTTGAGAGAGAACCGATTTAGAAAACAGCTACCCCGTTACAAATGGAGCAGAAACTTTGATTTCGAAAGCATCTATGACTTCATTTTGTTGAAAGGACCTTTTATAGGTATTCGCGTTGCTATGGGTTGGACATACCCATCTATTTCTCAATAAACATATCAATACGTTTTGGGTTGTTTTTTTTTTCCAATACATTTAACCAAGACCGTCTTAGACTCATTTCTTTTTTGGCCAGTGACTTGTCTTTTAAAAGGTTCTCCAGCTATGACTGATAAGGGTCAAATATGAAGGGAGCAGGAATCAGCTTTCTCTGCTTTGCCCCCCCTTGGAAAAGCAAGTTGAGAACTTACTCTAACAGTGAAGGGAACCAGTGATGGCACCGATGAGTCTTGACCCGAATGTAGTCCCAGACCACCCGTGATAGGTTATCAGGGACAAGGAAGGGAGGGGAGGGAGCTCACAGATGACATCCGGGTCCTCTTAATTGCTTTCATCTGATGAGGCCGCCACACACACCTTCTCTCAGAAACCGCAATCGACTTCCAGGAATGAAAATGCAAGAAACCCCAGAATGTGTCCTGCTAGGGCCTTGGTCCCTCCTCGCCTCCACGGTTCCAGGCTCAGTTCCCAGAATCCCTTAGCTGGACCCTTCTGGATTTCTCCTTGACCTGTGCTTTCCTCCTGCTGCAGAGTGAATCCCCTCTGCTCAGCTTCGGAATGCTAGGTGCGGTGAATACGCCGAGAGCTCTTAAGAGAGGAAAAGAAACGTTGAAATATGGGGGTCGGGGAGCAGGGTGCAGTTACCAACTGTGAATGGATAAATATCAGATTGGCATCTTTCGTAATCGATTTCTGGCGACGATGGAATTTTCCAGAATGGTACTGGCTGGACCGATCTGGGCTCTGGCGGCCCGTTTAATCATTTTTCGAATGCAAAATTGAGCTGCTTGCCCAGAATCCCTGAACATACTCTCCCCGCTTTGGGGAAGGGAGGAGCCACATCCATTTTCGGTCATCAACTTCCGTTTATCACCCTGCAAGTCACATTTTCTGTTTCGGGATAGCTCTAGAAGACGACGCATCTTCCTCTTCAGTGAGACGATGAAAACCTGGTTGTACTATTTGCAGGTTTAGAGGAATTCGTTTTATTAATCGTCTCGGTGTTTACTAAGATTTTACAAAAAAAAAAATATTCGAAATGTGTTGGCCGTCACTTCTGTGCGCTGAAGAATATTTTAATTAAATTTTAATGCTTTTTTGCAAAATATACGAAGAGCTCCCGACAGCGCGATATCAAGCTACTGCTATGTTTCAAAAACTTGTCTCCTCGCCCTTTTCCCTCCCCTCCCCCAAAGACACCACCAGTCCGTCCATCACCGTTAAATTTTTTTGCCGTCAAGGTGAGAGCCTAGTCTAGATTCGGTGATCACTAGAGTTTTCTTCTGTCACAGCAATAATGAGTAAAATTAAAATAATTACAAAAAAGAATGAAACGCATATTGGCATTTGCGTTTTCAAATGTTTCATTTGGATGGTGATGGCAGCGGGTCAGCTGGGAAAGCTTCTCTGACCCAGCTTCACCCCAGGAGCAGCGAAGCTCCACACCTGTGATGGCCTCTGTTGATTTTAGTGTCTGAGTGAGCATAGCAGCCAGGGGCGACGTCGGAGGAACGTTGGGTTTCCGAAACCCAGTGGTATCGAAGGATGTTCAAATGCCCAGTGGTATCGAAGGATGTTCAAAAATTTAAGTTACATAATTTTAACTAAATCTTAAATGATATAACTTTAACTACAAAGCTTCTCCTTCATTTCTGAGTGCCCTGCTTTTCATGTGCAATGAATGAATTCTTTTCAGAAAGCAAACGCTCGTCCCAGTGACCAGGCAAGAGTTGCCTTAACTCTGCTGCTGCCCACAGTGCCATGAACAGTCATAAAATGTCTTCGCTGTCACCCCCGACTCTACCTACAAACTGTCCCCGTCGAAAACCACAGAGTAGCCATAAACAAAATCCTATCGAATAGCCCCCAAATGCAGCAAACTATTTAAAATAGAAAAAGTAACTTGTGTGTTTCCGGTTCTGAAGCAGAACCAAAATGTGACTGGCTTGCCCTCGAAATACCTTTTGAGTAGCAGAAGCAAATTAAAAGAAATTTAAGTTACATAATTTTAACTAAATCTTAAATGATATAACTTGAACTACAAAGCTTCTCCCTCACTTCTGAGTGCCCTGCTTTTCATGTGCAATGAATGAATTCTTTTCAGTAAAATTCCTGTTTAAAATTTTGCAAAATGAGACTTTTCCAAGCTTTTTTAAACGATCGTGTTTTCATTCTGATTTTCCTTCCTAAACATGAAGAGAAACCTACAGGTGCTCTTCAAAACTATTGAAACCCTATTCTGTTAAAAGACTTAAAGTGGGTTTTTCTCTGATGTTTTCAAGCCCATGGAAATTTACACTGAGCCATGTAAATACCATGACTTGGGAAAGAGGCTTCAGAAAATTTAGAAGGCAGCTTTTAACAGGAAACAGCGCCACACGCTGGCCGTATAGATAAACTACGAAGGCAACCCCGAATCCTCCATCTGTGAGAATCTATTCTTAGGGCTAAATTGTCAACTCTACAGCCTGAATCTGAATTAAATAATCAGGCAATATTCTCAGTTACTACCGAGTAGGTTAATCCAGTGTGACTTGAAACTCAGGAAAGCTTCCCCACGTTTCGCTGAAGTGAATACAGTCACGCTGAACTGAACTAGAGGAATGAGCTGTGTCGTCTTGCGAGAAATTTTTCCTCACGTTTAAACACTTCTCGGACTATTACAGACAAAAATTAAATGACGAAGGCGGCCATATGTGGATTATATTCGAAGAAGCGTCTCTTCGGAACACCTTGGCAGCTCACTGATTGCTTGCTTCTTAAGAGTGTTTAAAATGTGAGAATATATGGAGATAATTCAACGCCAGTGGAGAGTAAAGCAGAGAGAGTTGACAGGCTCTATCTGCAGTGCTGGCGAAGAGAAAGAAGACCCAGAAACAGCCTTTCAACGCTCACTGGCCACCTTGGGCAACGCGAACCCACGACAGTCAAGAGTTTAAGAGAAACACACTTAACAATGTGAAGAAAGCAATGTGACACCCAG